CTCTAATCAAACAATATCCATAAATGAAAACCACACGCCTTCATGCTTTTCCTTCAAGATTTAGGGATTCAGAATATTACTTCCTGCACCGTTTTGATAAGAATGTCTTTAAAATGTCTCAGAATATTATAAACGGCATTTAGCACATTCTGATATACTAAAGTGAGTGAGACAGTATTACCAAAGCAAAACAAGGCTTTGATTCTTGGTGCTTGGATTTTATGTTTTTATGTTTTTTTAATTTCTGCTGAAACCTGATGGTGTACTTCACACAACTACAACACTTTGTCAAAGAGTTTGTTCAAATTGTTTCTTGTGAGTTTGAATTTGTGTTGATTTGACTTTGTTAAAGCTGTTCATAACCTGCTGTTCTTTGTCCACTAGTAAACTTCTTCCAAAGCATGTCAATAATCACATAAACTATACTGGCAGAAATATTCACCCAACAATCCAAATCATTGAATTATGGTGTACCATTCACTTCCATGGCTACAGGTCTATAAAACCAAGAACCTAGATATGCAGAATTCTTCCGCAAACATTTGTGTTCAAGTGAAATGTTAATGCTTCAGCTTACCAAGATATTTTGGAAAATTTTATGCTCCCAACTTTGGGAAGATGTGTATATATAGATACAAACAGCGAGTTGATACCATATTAACTCCTATTGATCAGGGAAACAAAGTTCATATTCTTATGAAAGTAGACAAATACTTTTGAAGTAGTGTAACTAACCACTACAAAAACCAGAATTTTAATTCAGTTGAATATTTTTTTCATATAGCTTCAAATCACAACAACATTTTGAAGGCACTTTATATTGTAAAGTAAATACAGTAATTCAGAGAAAACCTCATCAAACAGACAACCCTACCAAGCATTTGGCAACAGAGGGGAGGAAAAACTCCTTTTTAACAGGAAGAAACCTCCAGCAGAACTGGGCTAAGGGAGGGCCAGTAATCTTGTATCCACGGCTTGAAGTTGCCTCCCACCCTATCTCTAGGGCTGAAGAGAGGTACCTCATTTATCCTCAAGGTTATTCTTCCAAAGAACAAACCTCATGGCTTTTGGTGTTTTTTAGAACGTTGATTGACTGGTAAATGAAAGCTTTACCTTTGAGCTCGACACTCTTGTCACTCCAGTGGTGCGGTACAGCACCAAGCTCCTCCTTCCCATCCTTCATATCTCTTGTTCTGTCACATCTTAAAAGTGTTCAACTTGATCCACATCTGGCGCTACTAGGGAGGATGCTAAAGTCCACTAAGTCCACTGAACCTGTGTTTATTAAAGCAATTGGGCAGACCTTATGCTTTGTGACATTGTGTGTTATCATGTAGACCTTATAAAAGGTTAAACTCTGGCAATAAAAATATGCACACAGTTAGTAAATAGATTCGGAGGTGGTGCCAATTAAATCATGACTGATTCCTTTAAGTGGCTACCAAGACAATTCCTCACTTGATATAAGGCTGGTTAAGACCACTGGTCGATCCATTGTCCATTGTTGCTATATTCTGAGCCTAAAATTGGGGGCTTTATCTGACATTCATTTCAGAGTGATTATCCTTAACTGAAAATTCCAGGAGAGCAGTAGCTTAAAAACTGTTCAAACCAGTGGGTAGCAGTGATTTAAGGGCAATGCTGGAGCCTAGAAAATATAAAAAATAAATAATTTCACAGTATGTAGCAGCAAGTGCCAGGTACAGGTACCTTTTCATACTTGAAAGCATAGTTTTGTAGGATGGTGGTGGGGTAAAGAGCTTCAAAGAGAAGAGTACTCCTGGCTTGCTTTTTCATTTCACAGTTGTATTTCATTGATTCTTTACTTCCTGCTGTTCTTTCACTTCCACAGTTTTGAGTTTATTTGGGTTTTTGAATTCCTTTGCAGTCTAAATTGTTGAAAATGATTGGGATCAACTCACATGCAGCAGCAAGTCACTTAAACTACAACACAGCAGGAGTTTTACAATAAAACTGCAACCGGAGTAATTCATAGTGGAAATATCCTCTTTTCTTCTTTTCCATTTCAGGGCCTCGGTGGGCGTCATGGAACCTCGGGGTGTTCATGTGCATCCGCTGTGCCGGCATCCACCGCAACCTGGGTGTCCACATCTCCAGAGTCAAATCTGTCAATTTGGATCAGTGGACACCTGAGCAGATCCAGGTATGCAAATGATGCTCCCCATACTAGTACTGCTCTTAAGGCTTCTTAATGCATTGATATAACTTGTACCCCGTAATCTGTTATTGGTTAATTCTTTTAATGATCTCTGCCACTTACAAACAAAAGCTCACTGTATTTCTTTATGTAGGTTTTAAATCTATGTAGTAAAGATCACAAATAATAGCAAAAACCTTAAGACTCATTGTTTTCACTTGTTGCTTGTGTGCAACCTGTTCTGCTTTCAAGGATGATTTACATTTGAAATTAGAGCATTTGGAACAAGGCAAATGGTCAAAATAGTAAAAACAACAGGAGGAAAGATTTATTATTTAGGTTTTTGAGTCTTTTTTTTTTTTCTTTCTTCTCATTTTTCATTCAGGCAAAGGCAAGAAACCCACCTCCAAATTATACGAAACATGATCCTTATGATTTTTTTAATTACAGTTATCAAACAGTGATCTGGTTCATTTATGTTTCAAACATAAACAGGAGCTGCTGGTGCTTAATAGGGGTGGGAATAGAGAACTAGTTGGCAATAATACACCCTCAGTTTTCCTTTTATATGTACTGGCATGTTTCTTTTTTATACTTAAGCATACTTAAGGTTGCTAAACACACCTGAGTTGCCTCCGAGCATTTCAGAGACAATATAACAGCTGTCTTTTAAAGTTTGTCAAAAATCAAGAACAGACGCAATAAAGTATGGGCTCTATCAGAAAAATTAATAATAACATTTAAAATGAATAATGTCTTGCCAACATGCATCACTAAGGCCTAATGCAGCGTTCTGGTTTCATAGTGGATTCTACAGTCCTCATATAGTGTCCTAGCTCACTGACATTCTCATTTCTTTCTGTACACACATTTGCTGTGTGTTTAAAAACCTTTAATTGTTTTGTTTTTTTATATTTTATTGTGTATAATCCATTTTTCATAAACAACTATTATCCTTCTGGGCAAAGGACATTAAAGATGGCAGGAAAGGAGGAATGGAGACCGCAGAGAAGGTGGTGAAGGAGGAGGTTGGTGTGAGAGTGGAGGATGCTCGGAGGCAGATAATCTGCTGTGGCGACCCCTGAAGAGAGCAGCAAAAAGAAAAAGATGTATTATACTATTGTTGTATTTAGAGCTGGCTCAGCCAAAAAAAGAAGAAATAAACGGCCCTAAGACATGTTGGCATGAGCAAATGCAAAAAACCCAGATGGTACCCCCCAAAAAAGTGCATTTTAAGGGTTACCTTGATAGGTGAAGTTATGCATATACTGCAAGGTCACTCTGTATGCACTGACACAGCCTCAGAAATCCACTGTTTAGTATGCATTCAGTGTTTTTACACACACACACACGCAGCCATGTGCAGTACATGCACAGCAGCACGTGTGCAAATGCACATGCAGAGGGAATACAGAGAACCTAATGCTAATTTGTAAGTGCGGAGCTGTGTTTTGTGGATAACTAGCATGTCACATTGGTTTTATTTCACACTCTGTGTTTGTGTGTGTCTGTGTACATCTGTGAAGCTCACACAGCAGTACTCGCTTGGTGTGTAGCAGGGGAAAGGTGTGCGCCTGTGCGTTTCTCCCGTGCTGTGCCGATCCATCAGCTGAGTGCGAGTGGAACGGGGCTCAGTCTGAATGTTAATCACTGTTTTCAATGACTAATTAATTCTGGATGGCTGATTATTCCGACTCCGTCTCCTCCACTTCTCCTATCATCACCCCATTCATCACCCTCCTCTTAATTTAGCCCTGACACATACGGCCAGTGTGTCTTTCACTTGGCATGTGCGTGTTTGTGTGCGAGTGGGAAGGAATCTGCAGCAAATTGAGTTGAATGCAAATGTGAAGTATGAAAGAACTCGCTGTGTGTGTTTGACAAGGTCTTAAATGTGTTTTACCGACTGCCTTTTCTGTATTAATGACACAGTTTTTCCGTCTTTTCTCTCTCGGCTCTTTTTCCTTCCTCCCCTCCTCGTAGAGTATGGTGGACATGGGCAACACCAGGGCCAGACAGCTGTATGAAGCCCACCTACCGGAGAACTTCAGGCGACCACAGACGGACCAGTATCCTCCTCCTGCTGTCTCCCTCACTCTTTATTTATTATTCTCAGCCTCTATTGTCGTAAAAACAGATGCACTGGAATAAAGCATCGCTCTCACTGAACACTTTAATCACTGCTTTCATATTACATATGCATTAAAACTGCCAACTTCAGTACACACAGATATAAAAGCCTCTGTTTCGCCACACATGTCGGGATATCTACATGCAAATATAAAAGCTCCTGTCATCATGTAGCTACATATAAACTCTAAATGTCACCATAAATAAGTAGTTTATGCATTATACCACCATACAGGTCAAAGGTTTGGACATATCGCATTATATCAAGCACAAAACTTTAACTATTTCAGTCTTTGGTTTCATAACTGCTTTGTAAACTCTCCATTCATCAGCCAGCTTCATGAAGTCATCACCTGGAGCTCTTCCAGCAGTCTCGAAGGAGTTCCCATATATGCCGAGCACTTGTTGGCTGCTTTTCCTTCACTCTGCGCTTCATCACAAACCGCATCACTTGGATTTGAGGTGATGGGGCAAGTGACCTGACGCAACACTCCATCACTCGGCTTCTTTATCAAATGGGCCTTTAAAGAACCTGTGTGGCTGTGTTCAGGCTGCACAGTGGAGACACTGGGCCATTAGGTCTCAAATCAACACAAGTCTTCTGCCCTCCAATATGCATAAAACTTTTATGTGTATAACGTTTGAATATATAATGGTTGCCGGGAAATTTTAGCTTCATATATCAAATTGTTTTAAAGAAATATCTTTTTGGAAGGTGGTCCATCAAACCACTTTGAGCCTTTTTTTTTCGCACGTTAAAATCTATGACAGTGTTTACACATTAAATTTTTCCCTGGCCTTTCTTATAGTCAGAATCTGTAATTTGGGACAAATGCAAAAAAAAAAAAAGTTTGAGTATTGGTTTGTTTAAAATTTGGAGCTGGACTCAGCTTTTTCATATTTTAACCAGCCGATACTCATTTTTTGATGTATGTGAGATGCAGAAAAAAATAACTGGATTTGAATTGAAAATGCAGAATTTACGGCACATTTTAATTTGCAGGGTTTTTTTCTTTCTGTACAGTAAATTCCTTATGTCCCAATAAGGAAAGATTTTTAAAAAAAAGTGGTTTTATAATTGGTAAGTAATTGACTGTGCCAGTTACCTGTTCAATTTATTTTTACTACAAATCCCTAAAATGTTTAAATATATTGTAAGTGATTTTATTTTTTTGTGTTTCTGCAAATACTGATAAATAATCAAAAGTCAGAAAGCTTTACAGCAACAAGATAAAGATGCAGAGTCCTTTTTCATTATGACGTTACAATCTCAAATCGAACTCATTGTGGTTATCAGGCTTGAGCTTCAGCTGCACACACATCGCCACACATCATTTCCACACAGAGGCTTGCCACTTCTGCATCTTTCTGCACATTTAACCGGGACATATCGAGCAGTTTGTGTTTATACGCAGAGCTGTAACAGCGCTTTCCAGCTTGCCCTTTTCCAAGATACAAGACAAGACAGCTGTGTGGTTAACACACCAGCATATGTTCATATTTCCACCAGCAGACCAAAATAAATAATCTCCCTGTTTGAAATGTTCCTCTAATACCCTATCTTGTATCTGGCAGGCCCATTTGTGCGGGTGGTCATCATTCTTCACTCTTTTGAAGTCCATTAGTTGCTCTGACAGCATCGCCGCTGGCTGAAAGCAGCAGATAACAGACCCAGGATTAGAGGAGCTCGCGCCTGAATGTGGCTGTTTCTGTGTGTACTCCTCTGTTTATACTCACGCAGCTTCTCAGCCCTGCTGTTTACTGTGCTTATGTATGTAAATGACGAAATGGACTTTGAGTCCTGTCTCTGTATTTTGTGTGTGTGTGTGAGTTTGAATGCATCGATATTCATAGATGCAGGCGTGTTTTACACAAGTATGGACTAAAATGGGATTTGAGATTAATGTTGTCTTAGAAAATGTTTTAAATTCTGTTTTAAATAAAAATACCAGTAATGCAGCAGTACTTTATCAAGTTAGTCACATTTGAACATGTGCTTTTACTTTAAATGTTTTAATCTTAGACCAGCTTTTTTGTTAGTTATCAATGTGGAAAAAAACTGAATTATATGAAACTAACAGGTGCATCAAATGTGTAATTTGTGGTGATTTTTGTAGTATTAGGTTTTGAAATTGAAAATAGAAATTGAAACAGCATGTGGGTAGCACAGATGAGGTCTTTCTGTTGATACTTGGTAAAATAGTCCCCAGTATTACAGTGTTATAAATATGAAATGAGTTTAATTGTGACCCAGACTTTGATTTTATGTCAAAGAACAGCAGTCGCCCTTATGTCAGAATCCCTGCCCCCTTTGGTGTGTTTTATCGGTCTTTCATGAGATTTGTGGTCACGTGTGCCTAACCACCGTGTCACCAGGCCACACATTTATCCACTACAGCCGTGAGTGCCATGGTTGGTATCTCAGTGCAGCATCCTAGTTCTGCTCTGCTGTTTCTAGTCAACAGTAATAAATAAGCAGTGTGTTTGAGACGCAGCCACAGCAGGCCTCCTCTTCCAGCCTATCTAGCAGCTCCACTCGTGCGGGTGGTCATCATTTTTCAATCTTCTAAAGTCTTTTACTTGATCCGACAGAAGCGTCACTGCTGAAATAGGCAGATAAGAACGTCAGGATTTGCGGCACAGCAGCACGCAGTTGTGTTGGTTTGTGTGTTTAGGGAAAGATAGAGTGAGAGAGTGGGGTTGATTGTTTGTGTATCCTCACTTATCTCACTGTCGTGTGCGTGTTTTTCCTTTGACATTGTTGGGGTTCTTAGTGTAAATGTGCTCTCCTATTACCTCAGTTGTTCGTGTGCCCCCCTTTTTATCTGGGAAAAGTTTGCTGATCCATCAAATGGAGTGAACATTATAAGTCATGTCACTCGCAGCGTGTGGCAAAGAATCAAAATCCATGTCTAGACCGAGCGTCTTTTATTAAACTTCCTGGTGATCATGAAATGGAGAGACGAGCATCGCACACTTGGAAATCAGACATGTTAATAGTTTGTTTTTGTTTTCTTTTACATCATTTTTTTGCCCTTTTTAAAAGAGAAACATTATAACTATGCCCAAAAGTGATACATTCTAGCAAATTGGAAAAGTGGAAGAAAATGGATGGATGGCTAAATTGTATATACATTTAAATACTGTATGTGTTTCAAACGTAATATTCAGTACTGTGCAAAAGTCTCGAGTCAACCCTGAATTCTTTTTATAGTTTGCTTCTAATGAGCTGACCTTTTAAGGTGGTGTTGAGGCATCTTTTTCAGGCTGTTTTTTTCCCCCCACTCATTTTCAGTCCAGTCCGTGTACCTGACCATGTTCAAATAAACGTTTTTTTGTTAGTTTGTTTGTTAAGCCACTTAAAAGTGACCTGTTAATCATTCGAGCATAAAACTGGACCCAGGATGAACCACTGTTGTATCTACACAGAACGGACAACCTGGCAGAGAACCGGTTTTACATGTCTGTCACCAAAATGCAAAATTTGTTCCCATTTCTTTGGCTGATTTTATGAAAACTGTTAAAGACAACATTTAATATAAACAGAGGAAATCAGGAGAGAGACCAACAGCTGTCTGATTCATTCAGGTGTCCGACTCCAATTAACTGAAATCCTCTGCAGTATTACGCTGTCTATTATTCTCCTGACATACAGCCTTCTGTTCATGGCCCAAACGTTTAACTGCCGATTGTCAGCAAAGGGAACTTTTCAAATGTCTTAGCCCAAACCTTGTGTTCCTGCCCCAGAAGTGGTTAAAGACTTGTCATCTGAGGCCACTACTAGAAAGCCTTCTTGACGTAACTTTTACTGATTTGGAGTCTTGTGTTCTTTATTTAGAAAACACTTTTTTGATGAATTTGCTTCCCTTCAGCTCTCAGTCAACAAATGTTCAGGCATCGATCTTCTAATGGTGCGCTCACTTTAGATCTGCCTCATCGTGTTTAGGATACAATTGATCCAGTTTCTGCCGGGCCCTTTTACAAACACTCAGTCTAATCAGGATTTAAAGCTGACAAAGCCCCTCTTCACTCTTTCTGACACTTTCACTTAGTTGTGATGCTGTAATTTCTCGTCAGGTTACTTGCTGAGCAAATTTCTGCTGCAGACTTTAGCGACGCATCATTTCAAACAGGTGAGCAGTGCGTGCAGTAAATATGAAATCCTTTGATTTACATCAACAATCCTCTGATAGATTGATTAAATCAAGCAATTGCATAATTGTTTTTACCTTTACACAAAGTGTTCAACATAGTTACTGCTGCTAATCTCCCAATGTGATGTCAGATTTAGGGATAATGGTCAATATAAAAGAATAAAAGTGATCAGTATTATTATTCTGAGATGTGACGCTTCTGTTACCTGGCCTCTCATCTCACATATTTCTAAGGGGCAAAAGTGTACAAACCTTTGGTTTCAATGTAAGTTGTAGCAAAAACTGCAGCTAGTGTTTCTGCTAATAAAATCCTCTGTACAGAACACCTTGAACTCTTTTCTTGAGGTGATGATTTTGAGTGGAATCTTCCAGAACATTAACTTAAGTCTTTTTTTACCTTTTTTGCATGACTCACTTTCTCTTAAGAGTCACCTCACAGATATGCGTCTCGCTGTTTTCCTTTAGAACTTGCTGATATAGTTAAAAAATTAACTCTTCCTTCCCCGATGACTAGCTGTCCCTGCACGAATACAACACACACAGGTTGAATCTGTTATACTTCTGTCGCCTCTGAGTTTTATAACATAGATAAGGTTCTTATGCTGCAATGAAGTGTTTTCTGTAACTCTAACGATTGTCAAATGAATCAAAAAGTTGTGTTTTGGTCAAAAAACCTTCTAACAGCCTCCTTGTGATTTTCACTGTCTTGTTGTTTCGTGTTATCCCAATGGTGTCCCATGAGCATTGTACAGCTTGACTTTTACTTGCTCTTGGAGGGAGCAAGTCTTGCTTGTAGCTTAGTTTGGTACACTTTAGAGATGGTTCTGTGTCCCGGTATACCCAGTGTGCCCAGGTCAGTTGTTGCTTAACCTTCAGATTGTTGTAGAAATGTTTTTGTAGCATCATGAGCAACATCAGCTCTTTTTCTGAAGCCAATGTAGCCTCGTTTCTTCAGGCAAAGAGTCTTTCTGAAATATATGTTGTGAAGACCAGATTTAAGAGATTGCTGTTCAACAAGTAAAGTACAGCCGATCATCATCCCACTAATTGAAAACAGCAGAAATAATTACATCTTATTATCGATTGCTCATCACTGAGGTTGACATTTTCCCAGTACATAAATTCTGTCAAATATTTCATTTTAATTTATCTAACAGGATTCTGTTTTTCTTTTAGCACATTGGGATGATCCGAATGTAGAAAATCTAAACGTTTCCTCCATCACTGAAACGTTGAATCTTGTTTATTCTGACAAATATAGACACAATTGTCTGTAGCATGCATTGGCACTGGCATCAGTACTGATGCTAGTCTATGTTAAGAGTATTTTTTAATTGCTCACTCCTACAATCATCCACTTAACCTTGTTTCAAGGCTCTACATCAGCGTCTGCTTTTGATCCTGACACACATGCTGTAATTCTAGCAGCCTCTTGAGGTCATTGTCAATTAAAGATAAACATAAAGCTTTTGAACAGACAGGAACGTTCGTCACCACACATTATCTACATCTCTAATCTCAGTGTATCCAAGTTGACGACTATTCCACAGAATACATATCATAAAGCTTATGAGTGCACGTTGTGAAAGTTTTTCTAGAAGCAAGTTTAACCAACTATCTTGAAATATCCTTGGATCCTTATTTTGGGGGATTATTAAATATTATTTAACAAAATCTCAGTTTCAGTAGTTGCTGGAACATAAAACGTGTATGCATACGATTTAAAAAAACAAAACAAAAACAAGGATTGAAAAGACTTTTTCTTCTCCTGCAAGTTTTACTACTACTCCCACCTTTGCTGCGCAGAATTCCCGTGTACACTCGGTGCATGCTGTTTCTCTATGATGCGTCTCGTGTGGCGTGTGTGTGTGTGTGTAAGTATTGTCCACTTGGATACCTTTGTGCACGGCTTCAGTCCTTAACCCCGACCTTCAGAGCAGTGGAAGTCTTTATCCGGGACAAGTATGAGAGGAAAAAGTACTACAACAAAGAGGCTTCGGCCACAGCTCAAGTGAGTATCAACAACACTGTTTGTGTTTTACAGTTTGTGAGTGTATGTTATTGTTGTGGTTCCATGCAGCGCTGCCACGGTTGGAGGCGATTTCATGTAACCTCAGTGTGAGTGGTTGCTTGGTGGCTCTTTGATTGATGTGCTTAAGACAGAAAGCAACATAAATGTAAAATGACGGCTTTTCTGTCCCTTGAGCTTTGCTTTTTTTTTTGGAAACCTACCTTTTTTCCCTCTTTAATAATAAATAAATAAATAAAAAAGCTTTAACAGTAGCAAACACTGCATGCCAAAGTTTTCTTTAATCATGAAATAGGATTTTTTTTTCCATCCCTTTCCTTTTCCTGAGAAACCAATGATTTCTGAAAGGCTGAAACCTGCAACAAATAGTGTTTGGCAGCTGCCGTGTTTAAAGTTAAAATGTGTTACTCATCATATTTGGCATCTCTTCCTCGCACAAGACTTGTGAATGCCTTCCAGTAGGAACTTTTCATGCCAGAACCTCAGTTTCTTTCAGTGCACTTATCTTTCACTCAGCCTGAAAAATTAGTTGGGTCTTTTTTTGTGTTTTTTTTTAACTGCCACTGACCTTTTGTGCACTTTAATCTGTTGTAAAAAGGATGTTTGCTAAGCAAAAAATCTTTTTCAACCCAAACAATAGTCTTGCTGGATCCAATTCAAAGAGTTGCTGAACACAGTTGGAGAATAACCTTTCAAAAACACTGTTATCTTCTCATACAGGTCTTTATCAGTAAGTAGATAACTGTGTTTATGTGTGTGTGTGTGTGTGTCGGTGTCACGACTGAAGCTCTGTGTGGGTGAAGGGAGAAAAAGGACATGATGGTGTAGGTGTGTTTGTGGGCGGATGAGTGCACATATCCTTGTCTTGTTTCCACAGAGATATCAGAGGTGCGTGCATCTCTGCATGTTTCAGTGAGTGGGCTGTTTCTGTACTGTGAGTTACTCCGTGAAGGGCGGTGTGAAACTCCACAGAAATTGGTGTGATGCAGTCAGACTGTGTGTCTGTGTTCACATATGTATCACCTTGTATACTCCCAAAAAAAGGAGAGAACTGGCAGTTGTTATTATCCATAAACAGTGTTGGGACTAACGCGTTATTAAGTAACGCGTTACAGTAACTACGTTATTATTGCGGTAACGAGCACGGTAACTAGTTATTATGCCAAAATCAGGAACGCGTTACTCGTTACTGGGATTTAGATAGGCTCGTTATTCGTTACTTCGTGTGGTGGCTATCGCGGAGCTTCCACAGATTCAGTAACATTAGCAAGTGGTGGAGGCCAGCCGGTCCAAGTGTGAACTGAACTTCAGGTAAGAAGTTCTGACCTGCAGTCTCTCTGGGTCAGATATGAACCAAGTTTAGGTGGAGTTTATTTTCGTTATGCTGACTTTTTCCGTACTGCGTGCTAGCTAGCATGACGGAGTTTCTATACAGCTGGGTGGTGCTATGAAGTTAATGATGTTGAACTTTATTTTGTTCATAAGTTATTAGAGTTGCCAACCGTCCCGTCTGGTATTCAGAGAAAATATTACGCGTTTCTTATTGAGGTGAAAAGGAACAGTTTGTCCCGTAATTCAGCTACAATGAAAAAGACACAAAGCTGGAGTTACTCTGTGTCTTTGCTGCACAGCTGCCTCTTCTTCTCTCATTCTCCCCCCTCCCTCTCCCGTTTCTACTTCAATCATGAAAATGATCAATGATCAGCTGATCGGCTTTTCTCTCTTGTTTGTTTATCGCTCACTTTGCGCCAGAAAGATGAAACCAGCCGATGTCGCGCTAAACAACAGCAGCACGTTTAAGCTTGATCAGCTGTTGTTAGAATTTATTTAATATTAATTTCTAGTATCAGCTGATGTTTGCTGGAGCCACAGCTGCAAAAAACCTGCTGGTCATGATATGGTTTGGTTATCTGGTGAGAGGGAAACATGAAGATGAAACCAGGAGATGTCCTTACTGGATCATCAGAGCTGTGATGGAGAAACAGGTTTACCTTTTAGGTGACAGGAATGAGTTGAAGGGAAGTTATGAACTGTTTCTGAGAGACAAATAACCCCAGGATCCTTTTTTAGGTAGCTGACAGCTGGTAACTGTGCAGGTGCGGATCTCAAAGTGTTGCCAGGGGGACATGTAGGGCATTAACAGGGAGAGGTGGGCACAAGGAAATACTTTTCTTTCTTATTCTCATTTAAAATGTCTAGCTTTTAAAAAATAATTATCTGAATCTTACAACAAACGATTGATTGATTGATGCATATATACCATCAGAACAGTGTACATCACTGTCACAACAGTGTTTATTTTCATTCAAAGGCTTTATGATTTTTCCTATAATGGTGGGCTCTAGTCAAAATGTCCGGGCCAATTTTCTGTCCCAGTCCAGCTCTGTATGCAGCTCATCTGCAGTCGTCTGTTACTTACATCTTCCTATTCAGAAGGCAGAATTTCCGAGTTCTGAGTACAATCGAAAGCACCACGACTGCAGTTTTTGTGTTAGATGTAAAAGGCGCACATGACTCTGTGACGTAGGCTAGAATCATGGCAGCAGTCAATGACAGTCCAGGCGTGGGATTTCTCTCGTGGAAATATACACATTATCTTTTCCTTTCTATTGGTAGGTGGCACAGTGCACTTGTGGCAAGTAAGCAAGCTAGAAGACTGGCAAAGTTATGGAAGCAACACATTAACAAGAGAAGTCTGAGTAAAACCAAAGTTACTTTCCCTAGTAACTAGTTACTTTGAAAGTAACGAGTAACTTGAAGTAACTGAGTTACTTTTGAGAGAAGTAACTAGTAATGTAACTAAGTTACTATTTTAAAGTAACTTACCCAACACTGTCCATAAACAACAACAGCACAAAATGTCTACATGCTTTCTGCAAAGTTACGAATTGTTAGGCTAACTTGTAACTAGCCATCTTTAGCAATTTAGCAACAGAAATAATCTCATAATTTTTGGACAGATTTGAATTAGCTAGTTAATGCTAGCTTACATGTCATGGTTTAGTGAAACACTAAAATTGGACTTTTCTTAACATCAATGCTTTTCATAGGCTCATGTTTTATGTTAGAATCTGACCAAAGTTGGATTTTAAGCAGAAATACCTGCCAAATTGTCAAAGTGTGCTAGAGTTTATTTTAAAGTTTCAAATGGTGGTGTCATAATGTATTACCTTTGATATACTGTATTTAACACACTGGGTAACTTTCATCGCTCTGCCTTTCCAAAGGCTATCCTCCTCCTGATGTATTTTGGTACTGAAGTAAGTATAATCTCAAATAACTTTAATTTCACTGGCTATTCAAAACAGCCCTAGAGGATGATGCTACCACTACCGTGCTCGACAGTGGATATAGTGTTCTTAGGTTTGAAAACACACAATGAGTTGTATGTTTGTTTGAACTGATGATTTTGGAATCTGCAGTTGCTCAGAGACCCTCCCACCTTGTGTAAATCTACAATTCTCCTTCTTAGATTCTCACTGAGATCCTTGGAGTTTGCCATTGTTCTGAGTATTAGTCAGTTAAATTAGTGCTGTCAAACAAATCCTGTCTATGTCGGCAAAGAGAAATGCCCGTTTGTTGTCAGTTACAATTACTAACAAGAAGCTAATAATCTGTTTCCTTGTCAAGTTAAAGACATTGTAGAACCCTCAGCAGCACTTATTCAAAGATCTAAGTCAGTGTATGTTTTTATTTGACCTTTGTGGATTAGAGAAAATCCAGTTCAAACTGTACAATCATTCTGCACTGAAAAAGAAATCATCAACAGCTCGATGACAATTTGTGCTGGTTAGTGTATGCATGTAAACTTTGGACCACAACGGAATACTGTATATAATCTATATTCAATACTGATGCTCATTTGGGTAACGCAAAGACATTAGATACTTTTCAAACGTCAGCAACTTCCACCAGCGTGCTATGTATGAGGTGTTTGTGTCGATATTCTGTGTTTGGTTGTCTTCAGCGGTGTTGCTTTGCATTATGGCCAAATATCTACACTTTAGTCTCGTCTGTCTAAAGGATTATCGGATTGTAAACAAACCAAATGAGTATACGTTTTTTGTTTTTTTTTATAGGTTTGGCTTGGACTTGTGCGGGAAGAGTGTTGAAAGAATTTGGTCCAAGTGTTGTATCACTTCTGAAGGTTTCCTGCACTATTCTCACACTGGCACAGACATTACGTGCACTTTGTAGTAGAGAGCTCAGAAGGTTAAACTACCTGATCCAATGAACGACTTTAAAACTTTAGATCAGATTAAATCTGACATTTGCTGGTTCACATGCAGCGCTGTCAGGGAATGTCTAGAAAAATTCAGGCGTGCTGAGCCTATGTGATGAAAGCTTTCCAGCTGAGGCCGCTGAACTATTACTGCGTGAGCTTTTTTGTTAAATTTTTAAGCCAATAGGTGAGAGGTGTAAAACAATGAAAGATGGAATATTGGACTAATAGATGCAGTCTGTCAAGGAAGTAAACTACCTAACTGAAGAACTACCACCTGGTTTTTGGATAAGCTCTATTTTTAAGGATCTGAATGATTTTTTTTTGCAACAAAATAGTTTCTTTATTACATCAGCTAATTCATTTTTTTTGTTCTACAACTCCTTTAAGGTAGATTTACATGATTCACATTTTTGAGTAATCCTTTTTTAACTTATGCCGGGCCTTGATACCTTCAGTTTAGAGTGCCCCCTTACTGATTTCCCATTTTTGTGTTTACATGTGTTATTTTTGTCTAATATTTACATTTGTTTGACAATCTGAAACATTTAAGTCAGTCAAACATACAAAAATGGGAAATCAAGAAGGGGGCGAATGCTTTTTCACACCACTGTATCTATTAAACGTGCTTTTTTAGCTCCTTTCCTGCCTCCTTTTAAGCCAACTTTCTTTTGATTGACTGCCTGTTTGAACAGCAGATGGGCGGGGCTTCTGAGCTCA